GCTGCTGGGTGCCACTGATTGCTACCTGTGCTATAGGAACCTGTCTGGCTTGCATACCAGAACCAGGAAGCAAAACTCTTTCCTCTTGTAATGTTTCTCTAGTGCCTCTATTGACAAAGCTTTGGCACCAGCTGGCAAAGGAAACTACTTAAGAGGCCCAGATCCATTTTCTCAGAGCAGGCAAAGAGGATGCATTTGGAACTCAGAGATAATAAATAAAAAATAGCCACATTTATTGTTCAGGTCCCTTATTCTGGCACATATTAGGTGCTCAATAAATATTTGATGGAAGAATAAATGATGTGTAACATATAACATAAGCAAAAACAACATGCTTGCTTGTATACTCCACGTTAGGATTGGAATCCCCAGGCCTAGTTTCCAATGTGAATGCTGTTGCTAAGCTCTCTCCCATATGGAACTTCTGAAGCTCCCCACTGTGCAGTAGGGATAAAACAAGCACCCAAGTGACTTCACATCTCGGCTCAACAGTTTGTGAGAAGCACAGTGAGAGAAGTACCAGCAGAGAGGAGACAAATGCAACCATGGGCACCCCTTTGTGTTTGGGCCCGGGCTGAGCCACTGGTTGCTTCACTTGGCATCTTTCTGAGACATCGCTGTAGATTATGTAGATCTGTCTTGTAGGCAAAATGTGAAACACATCCAAGTGCTGTATTTTAAAACTTTTACAAAAATAAAGAAACATCCTCATTTCTCTAGACACTCTTCTGTTGACACAAACTGTTGAGAGAGTTGAGTAGACATGACCCTGCTACAAGTGATTTGATACTTCCTAACAGAGCAAAGTTTTCCCCTTTGTCCACTGACCCTTTCAATAGCTCTTCAGGAGCTTTTATTAGGATTCTCATTCCCTGTCCTGGGAAAGGACTGCAGAGAATTTCAAGAAGTGTGGCCCAAAAGATGAGGAAGCTTGCTACATTGACACAATGTGGCATTCACTCAGAATGCCTTCAACAGATATTTACTGAGTGCCAACTATGCGCAAGACCTCATTCTAGAATTTGGAATGCAGCCATGAACACAACAGGTCCCTCTTCTCATGGAACTTGCTAAGATTCTGGCAAGAACAGATAACATGGAACTTTCTACAGAGGCACTGTGGGTGATTTAAGGAACGATTGAAAAGCTCCAGGGGCAAGGAATTACCAACTGTAGACTAAAACATGGTCTTTGCTGATGCTCTTAAGAAATTCACTGTTCCCGTGTAGAAATGATATCATTCAATCTTCTAATTTTTGGTTCTTGCAAAGGTTTCAAAACAGTGCTGTCCAATGGAAATATGTAAGCCACATAAAGTAATTTAAATTTTTCTAGGATCTGGGTTAAAAAAGTAAAAAGAAATATACAAATTAATGTTAGTAATATATTTCATTTAACCAATTATATTTAAAAAATTAGAATTTCAACATGCAATCATCATACATTATTGAGTTATTTCCTATTTTTGTACTAACTTTCCTATTTTTGTACTAACTTCAAAATTGGTGTCTGTGTATTTACAGCACATATCATTTTGGACTGTCCACATTTCAAGTGCCCAACAGCCATGAGAGGGGGAGTGAACAAAGAAAGTTCGGAAAACTGCCCACAGAGCCCTTCTTCCTCTTATTTTGGGGATGGAGAAGATATTTGCTTAATTGAAACATTTTGTGATCTCAAGTTCCAGGATTTTAATAATAATAAAAAAACTTATTAAAGGAAGTTGAAGACCACCATGGCCTTTGCCTCAGCCCTCCATAGTGCACAACACAGGGAAAGGCTCATATTATGTGCTAGGTCATTGTTTGATCTGTCCACTAAGGCAAGGGCTATCATGAAGGAGAATAGTTTTCCACTAATGATAAACCATCTTGGCCAATGTCTCAAGTTAGAGTAGGCAAAGGATGCCCAGAAATGAATGTCCAAAACCCAGCCAGACTCTTAAATCAGCCAATCCCCGGCTTGACTTTTTCCAAATTCCTTCCTCACCCAAAAGTTATAGGCTCACCAGGAAAGGCTGCGAGCTTCCGGCCTCCTCTGGATGAGGACTAAGGGTGGAGGCGTGCCTGCCCGGGGCTGACCCTTCTTGCCACCGAGTTCTCGCCCACCTACTTAGCCCCTTCCCCTAAGAATGCCCCTCCCCCAGCCTCTGGCCCCGGGCCACCTCCACCTTCCCAGCCCTCCTCCCCGCGGCGGTGGACCCTCAGATCCTCAGACCTTCCATCTCTAGGCACGCGTCCTTTTCAACCACGACCAACCGGACTACTTCCTCCAAAAATGAGGAAAAAGAGGGGCAGTCTTCTTCCTACGGAACTGGGGGAGGGAGCATCTCAGGGTGCGCAGGGGCGTTTTCTTCCCAGTGCCTGGGGCTGGCACTCAGTTGACACTGCTTCAGTGCGGGCCGACTCAGTCTGCGGGGTGCGGGTAGCCCCCACCACAAAGTTTCTTTGGGAATCGAGCGACCCTGCACAGGCCTCCCTGCCACAGGCCTCCAGCCCTCCCGCCCCCAATACTTTCGGCTACGCCTTCCACCCCCCCATCCCCCCACTCCTTCCCCGGGACTCCCCAGGGCGAAGCATTCTGGGGCACTTCCTTGAAAAGTGGCTTGGGGAAGGATGCTCCGCTTCGGGGGTTAAACGGCAATCACAGCCCCCTCGGGGCTCAGAGAGGCACCCCCCCTCCCTCCCCTCCCCTCCGGTCCGGATCTGCGTTTCGCAGCTCGGTCGCCCGCTCCAAACAAGAACAGGGGCCCGAGTCCGCGTTCACATGGAAAATTATGCCGGCTCCAGCGGCGCGTAAAATTGATGTGAACCGAACGAAGTGGGATCGGCCTGATCCTCCCTCTCTTGTCTCAACAGGGGTTTCGGCGCGTTACACAAGGCCGAGCTTGTCTCTTTAAGGAGACATTGGACCCTAATTAGTCCGCATTCCTGGCAGGACCAGGGAGCATGGGGATGGGGTGTTGGGGTTGGAGGGGGCGGGTGGGAGTCCGAGACTCGGAAGGAGACTAACCTCTAGTCTCACCGCCCCCTCCACCCTCTTTACTTTGCCACCACCATCGCCACCAACACCCATTCTGAAGATGCAGCCAGGGCAGCAGCAACAGCAGCAGCAGCCACCGCCGCTTCTCCCAGGCCCACGTTACTTTGATTGACAGCTGAACAAATGTTTGCCGGGTTCGAACGCTCGCGCTAAGGAACGTCAGCCTGGGCGCAGCTCCCGCCTAGGGAGGGCAAATTCCGCCCCGCGGACGCCAGCCCCCATTTCGTTCTTGTTCATTGGGCCCCAACTAAGGAAGAACCCCCGGCCCCCCCCGGGGGTTCCAGGTTGGGCGGGGTCCCCCCCCCCCGGGTTCGCCATTTTGTTCACAGGGAAAAAAAGGGGCAGGAAAAAAAAAAAGGGGGAAAAAAAGTTTCCCCCCTTCTTTAATTGGTTTTTGGGGAAACCCCAAAGCCCCCAAAGGGGGGGGGGGGGGCCAAAAAAAAAGCCCCCAAAAAGGTCGCGTGGCGGGGCCGGTGATTGTAGTCAATCTGGCCGAATCCTCAGCTGTAGTCGCCAGGGGCCGCACTACATCTCCCGGGATGCCCCGCGGTCCCTCCACGGCCGGTTGTGAATATGTATCAGAATGTTAATGATTAGCTGATGCTAAATTTGGTCATAGAAGTCACCTACACAGAGCGTGTTGTTAGAGCTGTTCTGAGCGGGTGTTTGGGCTGTTGGCTGCTGTCTTCCCCCTCTCTCACACACTTGTATATTATTTTGAGGTGGTGTTCGCAGAGTTTCAAAGGGGAGAGAATTTTTTAAAAAGCCGCAAGCGTTTCACTCTTATTTTTATAATCCCCTTCAATTTGGGGTTAAAAAAAAAAGACAAGAAAACAGGAAGGAAGAAAAATAAGGAAATGAGATGTGGTAAAAGAAGCTAAAAGGTGCCTTTAAAAGATCGTTGCTGTGAAGTGAAAAAAAAAAAAAAATCTCCAGAGAAACCAGAAAGCACCGCCGAGACCTCTTCCGAACCAAAGGAGTTTGTGTTTGCTTTTAGGAAAGAAGAGAGCGATCATTCATTCGAAGGAATAACAACCAATTAAAAGACAAATAAAAAAAAAGTTTGGAGTGGGACGCGGAGCGAGCGAGCCGGCGGGCGTCGCTGCCGGCGGGCACTGGGGCGCGAAGCCCGCACTTTCCCGGGCCGGGGGAGCGGCGCGCTTGCGCGGCCGGATTGCGGGGAAGTAATAGTTAGAGCTGGGCCCCGAAGAGAAAGGCGGTCGGAAAAATCCCCGCGGCGGCCATGAAACCCCACGGGCG